TGTGCTATATGGGACCTTCCGGCCCACTCGTTGCCGTGGTCTTGCGGGGTAAGTTTCTTTGCCTTTGCGGCAGTTTCGTGTGTAACCTTCCGGCTATATCCCTCGTGCTGTGCCTTGCGGCGATTGTGGGAAACTGGAGTATACCTGGGATATATGCAGTGTTTGACCATTCCCCAGGATGCCACCCACAACAGGTGTGTGTGTGTGTGTGTGTGTGTGTGTGTGTGTGTGTGTGTGTGTGTGTGTGTGTGTGTGTGTGTGTGTGTGTGTGTGTGTGTGTAAACAAATAACGTGTTTCCAGTTAAATCGAACTGCTCTCAGTAACATATATTGTTATTGACATTTCCACTACGAGAGAGAGAGTTGTCAAACTGAAAGAGTCAAATTATTTCATATGTTCATTTAGCGTTTCAAAGCTAAGCTGACCTTTACCTGAAATTTAATAACAAAAAAATATTGGAAAAAATTCGACAGCATAAAAGAATATTTTTTACAACTTAACTTCAATACCGGAAATCACGCCTAGAGCTGGGTAGGAATAGCTTACTCTGATTGGTTGTCTCTTCTGGTGGGAGGGGGATGCCTTCCGGTGGGAGGGGAGGCCTTCTGGTGGGAGGGGATGCCTTCTGGTGGGAGGGGGTGCCTTCTGGTGGGAGGGGGAAGCTTTCTGGTGGGAGGGGATGCCTTCCGGTGGGAGGGGGATGACTTCCGGTGGGAGGGGATGCCTTCTGATGGGAGGGGATGCCTTCTGGTGGGAGGGGAGGCCTTCTGGTGGGAGGGGATGCCTTCTGGTGGGAGGGGAGGCCTTCTGGTGGGAGGGGATGCCTTCTGGTGGGAGGGGAGGCCTTCTGGTGGGAGGGGATGCCTTCTGGTGGGAGGAGATGCCTTCTGGTGGGAGGAGATGCCTTCTTGTGGGAGGGGATGCCTTCTTGTGGGAGGGGATGCCTTCTGGTGGGAGGGGGATGCCTTCTGGTGGGATGGGGAAGCTTTCTGGTGGGATGGGAATGCTTTCTGGTGGGAGGGGATGCTTTCTGGTGGGAGGGGAAGGCCTTCTGGTGGGAGGGGAGGCCTTCTGGTACGAGGCGATGCCTTCTGGTTGGAGGGGGAAGGCCTTCTGGTGGCACCCGCGAGAAGGCAGCCACCAAGTCCTTCCTAGCAACACATGCTTACCAATAATATACATTCCTGAGGGATTTCCGCTCGGTGTTTGTGGCCTCTGTCTTCACACAACTCTTGCTTGAAGCCCGCCAATCTCGCAGCAATCTTTACGATTGCTTCTAATCCATACAAGGCCGTGGCTATGAGCGCAAACATTAGACTTCCCTTAACCGTGTACTCAATACACAGTACCTGACTACTGAGCGCACATTAGATGAAACAAATGTGAATCAAGACACGATGATGGTCAATGCCCTTATTGACATGAGGTCAATAAGCGCAGTGACAACACGTCCAATGGTCATGTGTCGCGGCCTATATGTAAACCCGTGTATATATATATATATATATATGACAATGTCAGACCACGGAGGAAAAAAGAAACAGGAAATTTCCTTAAGTACTTTCGTATATTAAATACATCTTCAGAAGGTCATTTTACAGATCGAGTGATGGGTATAAATAGGCAGGAGAGAGTGGTGAAGTAAGGTGAGGTACAATACTTGGACAACACAGAAGGCCCATTGGCCCATCAGATGCACCCAATTAGCCCATCCGATGTAGCCCAATGGCCCATCTGATACAGCAAACATACAAGCATAATACATAGGTAATTATAACATAAAGAGGTAAATATATACAATAAATTAGTGAGACAAATGTTTTTCAATGATTCTACTTAAATCGCCCTTTAGCTGATCTATTAGAAATGGATCTAAGTTATATAGACCACTGCTAATATTCAAATTACTTTCTTTGGTGATCTGTATCAAAGCGGATTCAATTATGTTTCTGTTATAGGTGCTTTTACAATTTGTTATTGAAGACGCACTCTCCCAATCAATTTGGTGAGCGTTTTCTGACAAATGCACAAACAAAGCATTAGATAATTGGCCATGTCTTACAGAGTATTTATGTTGCGATATTCTACATTTTAAATCTTTAGATGTTTGCCCGACATAGAACTTATTACATTCCTTACAAGGTATTTTATAAATGACGCAATTATCACTACGAGGGCTGTTCCTTACTAATAGCTTACCAACAGTGTTTTCGTAGCTAAACATTACATCTATATTAAAAAGTTTTAAGGCCTTGACAATATTCTCAAACCCAGAGAAATATGGTAAACATAACACATTCTTTGGGCGAGTCCTTTCACTGCATACATTATTATAATATGTACGACGAGCTTTTAAAGATTTAAAATGTAGAATATCGCAACATAAATACTCTGTAAGACATGGCCAATTATCTAATGCTTTGTTTGTGCATTTGTCAGAAAACGCTCACCAAATTGATTGGGAGAGTGCGTCTTCAATAACAAATTGTAAAAGCACCTATAACAGAAACATAATTGAATCCGCTTTGATACAGATCACCAAAGAAAGTAATTTGAATATTAGCAGTGGTCTATATAACTTAGATCCATTTCTAATAGATCAGCTAAAGGGCGATTTAAGTAGAATCATTGAAAAACATTTGTCTCACTAATTTATTGTATATATTTACCTCTTTATGTTATAATTACCTATGTATTATGCTTGTATGTTTGCTGTATCAGATGGGCCATTGGGCTACATCGGATGGGCTAATTGGGTGCATCTGATGGGCCAATGGGCCTTCTGTGTTGTCCAAGTATTGTACCTCACCTTACTTCACCACTCTCTCCTGCCTATTTATACCCATCACTCGATCTGTAAAATGACCTTCTGAAGATGTATTTAATATACGAAAGTACTTAAGGAAATTTCCTGTTTCATTTTTCCTCCGTGGTCTGACATTGTCACATTCTTAATCACGTGTTTATTTTCGTGATATACACACATATATATATATATATATATATATATATATATATATATATATATATATATATATATATATATATATATATATATATATATATATATATATATTTTGACGTGATGAAGGTTTACACCAGGAGCTAATATGTACCGTGATGACTATTGTCGCTTTGTTGGGCTCTGGAGGCGTCTTGTCCATACTCTGAAGTCACAGGAGACATTACATATTCATTAATATATATTACCCCAGTCGCTCTCTGGGAATATTACTGCTGCACGGGAGACGCCGCCCAGTATTACCCGGTTATTATACCAGTATTATATTATTATACCAGATGTTCTTAAACAAATAGTAAAACTCAAACCAAACAAATCCCCAGGGCCGGATGAAGTGTTTGCTAGGGTGCTTAAAGAATGCAAAGAGGAGCTTTGTGACCCACTGTCAACCATATTTAATAAATCAATAGAGTCAGGCAGAGTGCCAGAGTTTTGGAAAGTTGCTAATGTGATACCAGTTTTTAAGAAAGGAGATAGATCACTTGCGTCTAACTATCGACCAATTAGCCTAACGTCTATTGTGGGAAAGTTACTCGAATCTATAATAGCAAATAAAATTCGTCTTCATCTTGAAAAACATAAATTAATAATTGAGTCGCAACATGGTTTTATAAATGGCCGTTCATGTTTAACAAATTTGTTATCTTTTTATTCTAGCATTGTTGAGGCAGTTGATAGTGGTAAGGATTGCGATGTTGTATACCTTGACTTTAGCAAAGCTTTTGATACAGTGCCACATGAAAGACTGATTAAAAAAATAGAGTCTCATGGTATTGGGGGTGCTATATTAAGCTGGATTAGGGCATGGCTATACCAAAGGAAACAGAGAGTTAGTATAAATGGAATCAAGTCAGAGTGGGAAAATGTTGTAAGTGGAGTGCCTCAAGGCTCTGTCCTGGGACCTCTGTTGTTTATAATATATATAAATGATTTAGATTCAGGTTTGAGTAGCAACATTTGCAAATTTGCCGATGATACGAAAATCGGTAGGGAAATTAATTCGGAGGAGGACTCACTATCACTTCAAGTTGATCTAGATAGGGTTTTGAAATGGTCAAAGGATTGGCAGATGCAGTTTAATGCTGATAAATGTAAAGTTCTGAGGTTAGGTAATGATGATAGAGTTACAAGATACGAGCTAGATGGTGTTGTGATTGCGAAGTCGGATTGCGAAAGGGATCTGGGAGTTATGATTAGTAAGAATTTAAAACAAAAGGATCAATGCATAAATGTTCGTAATAAGGCAAATCGGACACTTGGATTTATTAATCGCAGCGTTAGTAACAAGACACCTGGTGTGGTTCTCAAGCTATATCTTGCTCTAGTTAGGCCCCATTTAGATTATGCAGTTCAGTTTTGGTCGCCATATTATAGAATGGATATAAATTCACTTGAACGTGTCCAGCGTAGGATGACTAAGTTAATTCCCCAAATTAGAAATCTTTCATATGAAGAAAGATTAACAAAGCTTAAGTTGCATTCACTGGAAAGGCGAAGAGTTAGGGGTGACATGATAGAGGTTTACAAGTGGATGAATGGACATAACCGGGGGGATATTAATAGGGTATTAAAAGTATCAACACAGGACAGAACACGAAACAATGGATATAAATTGGATAAGTTTAGATTTAGGAAAGACTTGGGTAAATACTGGTTCAGTAACAGGGTTGTTGATTTGTGGAACCAATTGCCGCGTAACATTGTGGAGGTGGGGTCCCTCGATTGTTTCAAGCACGGGTTGGACAAGTATATGAGTGGGATTGGGTGGTTATAGAATAGGAGCTGCCTCGTATGGGCCAATAGGCCTTCTGCAGTTACCTTTGTTCTTATGTTCTTATGTTCTTATTGGATGTTGAAGATGACCGACAGGTGACGCCACAGGGGGGAGGGGGGGGGGGGGGGAAGGTGACGCTACTGGTGAAAGTGACGCCACTGGGAGGGGTGTGAGTGAAGGTGACGCCACGGGTTTCTGTGCAGGGACCGGAAACCTCCACACAGGGACCGGAAACCTCCACACAGGAACCGGAAACCTCCACACAGGGACCGGAAACCTCCACACAGGAACCGGAAACCTCCACACAGGGACCGGAAACCTCCACACAAGGACCGGAAACCTCCACACAAGGACCGGAAACCTCCACACATGGACCGGAAACCTCCACACAGGCACCGGAAACCTCCACACAGGGACCGGAAACCTCCACACAAGGACCGGAAACCTCCACACAGGCACCGGAAACCTCCACACAGGGACCGGAAACCTAAACACAAGGACCGGAAACCTCCACACAGGCACCGGAAACCTCCACACAGGGACCGGAAACCTCCACACAAGGACCGGAAACCTCCACACAAGGACCGGAAACCTCCACACAGGCACCGGAAACCTCCACACAGGCACCGGAAACCTCCACACAAGGACCGGAAACCTCCACACAAGGACCGGAAACCTCCACACAAGGACCGGAAACCTCCACACAGGGACCGGAAACCTCCACACAAGGACCGGAAACCTCCACACAGGCACCGGAAACCTCCACACAGGGACCGGAAACCTAAACACAAGGACCGGAAACCTCCACACAGGGACCGGAAACCTCCACACAGGGACCGGAAACCTCCACACAAGGACCGGAAACCTCCACACAAGGACCGGAAACCTCCACACAAGGACCGGAAACCTCCACACAGGCACCGGAAACCTCCACACAAGGACCGGAAACCTCCACACAGGCACCGGAAACCTCCACACAGGCACCGGAAACCTCCACACAAGGACCGGAAACCTCCACACAGGAACCGGAAACCTCCACACAAGGACCGGAAATCTCCACACAGGGACCGGAAACCTCCACACAGGAACCGGAAACCTCCACACAGGGACCGGAAACCTCCACACAAGGACCGGAAACCTCCACACAAGGACCGGAAACCTCCACACAGGGACCGGAAACCTCCACACAGGGACCGGAAACCTCCACAGGGGGACCGGAAACCTCCACACAGAGACCGGAAACCTCCACACAGGGACCGGAAACCTCCACACAGGGACCGGAAACCTCCACACAGGAACCGGAAACCTCCACACGGACCGGAAAACAACTGTTGCACAGTGAAGCCAATATTCGGAGCTCACCGTCATACTATATATAACCTGCTGTTGGAAATGAAAATAATTTGGGAAAGATGTTGTGAAGCCCCGCCACGTCAGGCAGTGTATATAGAGATCTCTCGCGTGTGTTGGATGAGGACCAACAACTAGAAAGCAGAATAATAACGCACATATATTTTTTCAGGTATTTTACACGATATATTTCTTTAAAATGTTGGGTAAAAAATAATCCTTAATCCAATGAAACTCCTAATTTCAAGTAGAAGAATTATACAAGTAAATTATATACATTATACAACACTCTTTTATGGTATAGAAGGAAAAAGAGAGATTCAGAAAGTTTGGAAAAATATTCAAGCGAGAAAACGCGAGGCTCCTGAAAACAGGGAGGACATTGGGAAGAAGCCATGCAGAAGAGGACGGAAATAAGGGAAAAGCTGCTGAATAAATCACAGGACGGCGTATAAAAGCCTTACGTTTTACACCGGCAATATAAATATCTCGAGCAATGGTGGCAGAAGATGGGATGGGATGTCATCTTCATGTTTATCCTTATCTTTGAAAATGCAGCGTTAAAAGATTTTTTTTTTAATTACTTAAAACTGTAAACGGCTTGATATGAAAAATAAAACAAGAGATTTGCAAGAAATATTGTAAAATAATAAAAAAAGCGTTGCAGATGTGTATTTGCAATATACACGATGCATTTACTAAGGCAAGGTAATTAATGAAAGTGCCAAGCCAGAACGACTATATTGCACTTGGGAAGGATCCGGGAAAGTACGTAGGGAAGGAATGGTGCCAAGCCACTTATTGAACCATCGGGCATCGAACGTCGACCTGCAATAGGTAATGATATCGCTCTACCAACCAGTCCAAGTGATTGGACCGACACATTTAAGAATTATGCCAATATATATATTGTAATATTGGGCATAGCTACTGACCCTTTCCAGGATGCAACCCCACAATAGTTGCCTAACTCCCGGTGCCTATTTCCTGCTAGATGAATAGAGGCTCTTAAAACGCGCCTTTTAAGTCCTTTAAGACCATTTCCATCCCACTGGGGATTCGAACCAGGGAACCTTCTATCTTGAGTCGAGAAACGAAGACACCTGCACGTTCTCTGCAGATATATCAAAAGCAAGATTGACAATGATGTTCACTCGTGGTGTTCCAGCCACAGTGCCGGGCAGTGTGGTGTTCCAGCCACAGTGCCGGGCAGTGTGGTGTTCCAGCCACAGTGCCGGGCAGTGTGGTGTTCCAGCCACAGTGCCGGGTGGACTGTGGCCTTCCCGGGAAGAGAGTTGCCGTCGTGGCTAGATATCAATTTAGACAAGGGGAGAAGGACACGGAGCCAGCCAGAAAGCCAGCCAGCCAGCCAGCCAGCCAGCCAGCCAGCCAGCCAGTCAGTCAGCCAGCCACGGTAGGTTCAGCTGTTAAATTGCAGGAAAAAAAAAAGGAGTTGCCCCAGAGAATTTTTGGGGCGCGATAAAATGCAAGAATTCCACCGCAAGATTTTGCTTCGTCAATCACTGAATTACTCCTTTCAACTTCCTAATGAGAAACTTAGGAATATTTCAAGTCAAATTAAGAATTCTTGAAACGTAAGTCCTCGGTCAACCGGTCAAGTACGTGGCCTGCTCATTTTGTTCTCTATTACAATATTACGACGATATTGTTAATTGTGACCACGTTAGTGTCTAGGTCCTTAGTGCTTGCTACACTTATTATCTCTCTCTCGGGGAATCATAACAGTGCAGGAGTGCCCACCACGCCTGGGTGGGAGGGTGTGGGGGTGCAGGAGTGCCCACCACGCCTGGGTGGGAGGGTGTGGGGGTGCAGGAGTGCCCACCACGCCTGGGTGGGGGCCAGGGAGAAACACACAACCGTGAACGCCAACATCTCAGTGTTTATGAGGCTCGGGCTCTCCGAACGCTGACGTCCGCGATGAAATATAACCTTTTTACGCTCTGTGTTTTTTCCCTAAATCAAACACGATAAGATTTTATGTGAGGATATTTAGGAGAATTTGGAGTAGAGTGTGTCACATGCACCGCTTGAGAGATGATAGTTGGCCGCGGCCAACTAACAAAATGTTGTGTATTCAGCTGGAGTTACCATACCAGCCTGGCACCTTGTGGTTATGGTGTAACCTGTAGGAAATAAAAATTATGTCTGTGTGTAGCTTTGTGCTAGTGGCTTATACTATACCTGGTGTCCGGCGACGGTCTCCTAAGGTGTGTGTACCGCGTGATTTAACACGGGTGTGAAATGAGAGGGAGGTCGGTTTGGTCCGCCGTGGACCCTTACCGAGTGATGGATTGGTTGATTGATGAAGATTAAGCCGCCCAAGAGGTGGCACGGGCATGAATAGCCCGTAAGTGATCGATTTTTTTTTAGTGAATGTGATTTTGGTCGTGAATCCGAGAGTGGGAGAGACCGTCGGTATAGGGCAAGAAGGAAGATGAGATAAAATGTGGTGCATATTTGTACAGTATTTGCTTTCTTTTAGTTACCTATCAAATACCTCTCAATTATATACCTATCAGTGGCTAAGGGGAGCCACTCTTCAAGCTCTTCAAGCCCCGACTCCTACCTCACTGTCCCCTGGTGAGTGTTCTCAATGGATCTCTTGCCGTCAAGAGTTCTTAGTCGCTGCTGCTGTGGAAGCCGTGGATGGAGACGGCTGCCGTGCTCTCTCTCTGAGTGTATTCCACCTGACAACCCAGAGAGGGTAAGACGATTTCTTGACCTCTGTGAAGAACAAAACTTCGACTCGTTTGTGTTTTTAGATTCCAACGATGACCTCTTGGGCAATTTTCTCCCAATATTAAGTGCCAGATGATGGTGTACCGTGCGTAGTGTGTACCCTATGGTATGTTATCCTCCGTGTCTGTACCGTTCATGTTGCGTCGAAGAGGTAGTGTACAGTGATGGGATACAGTGTCCCTGGAGGCTCCTCACTCCTGCTTCCTCTTCCAGCAGCCTGGCCATCCGGGACAGGACGCTACATAAACACAGAAATCAGTGAGGGTTCGGCACAGAAATCAGCGTGCGGCACTCTGATTGGCCCTCCAACCGTGGGCAACTTACCTTGTATTTCATGCATGCCCCAGGTTACACATCATTTACCAATATTTCTTATTATTATTATTATTATTATTATTATGTTGACCAGACCACACACTAGAAGTTGAAGGGACGACGACGTTTCGGTCCGTCCAACGTTCGGAACGTCCGTCCCGACGTTCCGAACGTCGTCGTCCCTTCAACTTCTAGTGTGTGGTCTGGTCAACATACTTCAGCCACGTAATTGTGACTCATCGCCTGCATTATTATTATTATATATATAGGTCAAACACTCTAGCAACCACACACACCTACAATACCTCACTCTGAAACAGTTTTAGACTTATGAAACACATTTCTAAACACGAGGCGCCCCTATATATATTTATGAGTTAATAGCGATCACCCTACTGATACCCCCCCCCCACCTTTGCTATAACCTACCAACACCTTTGTTATAACCTCTTAATCATGTGAATACTTTACCAACACATTCTCTTGCTCTTCACCTACACAGAGAATACAAATTGTTTAGACATGACCAAACGATCCCTGGGGGGGGGGGGATCATATTCTCAAATTCAAGCACTTTTTCACAAGCCTGTGAACAAGTGCCTGAATATGTGAAAGCAATTCACGTGTTCCTTAATACTAAACATAAAATATAATATGACCGTCACTTTATCTGACTTACTTATACTTTATATACTTATTACCTAGTACAGGCATACTTGGTCCCTGCAGGTCAATAGTAAATCAATAACATTTAAGCACCTAGAAATCACAAGAATGTATCTCTGAGAAGATATTGAGATCATACAACGGGATCGAACTCTCGTCCCTGGACGAAAGAGATCCAAAGACCACAATATTTCCTCACAATAGCTTAAATTAGTCCATCATAAGGCCCCCGACATAATTCAACCAGAAATCATAAACCTAGTTCAGTTTTCGGTTAAAAGCTTGAGTGGAAAAAAGACACAACCACCACCCGGATTCAAAAACCTTTGATCTTTCTGAAGGCCAAACTTCAATCAATTCTGACAGACCATCATAAAAGCTCTCGCTGAGAACGGAAGTCTCTGGCATTCTCGAACAACGGTAGGAAACGCGCCTTTTGACACTTCACGGATCATTAACCGATCCCCTGACCTTCAGTGACCGCTTACGGGCTATTCATGCCCGTGCCAACTCTTGGGTGGCTTAATCTTCATCAATCATCAATCTGGAGGAATATTGCTTAGCTAACATTGCGGTACTCGTGACTGTTCTATAGCCTCTATCCCTCTTCACCTTGTGGCCGTCCTCGCCTCAAATACGTCGCATTATTAACGGAGTCGACCGATCGGTTAATATTGCGACGCATGAATAAAAATTAAAGCACCGTAATAATGACCGTTTCCTATGCACTGGCCTCGATAGGTTAGGTGGATTGCTTGGGTTCGCACGTTTTTAGTTGGGTGCACCGGTTGCATTCTTTACGGAGTGGCAAATATAAAGACTAGTGTGTGCACAGCGCTGCCTTTATGATGCATGGAGCTCAGTCTGATACGCCACAGCAATCAAAAGACCGATTTGAATGTTGACAGATCTTCAGACTTTCTGGCGTCGGCAGCGACTGAATGTTGACAGATCAGACTTTCTGGCGTCCGCAGCGATTGAATGTTGACAGATCTTCAGACTTTTTGACGTCTGCAGCGATTGAATGTTGACAGATCTTCAGACTTTCTGGCGTCCGCTGCGACTGAATATTGACAGATCTTCAGACTTTCTGGCGTCGGCAGCGACTGAATGTTGACAGATCAGACTTTCTGGCGTCGGCAGCGACTGAATGTTGACAGATCAGACTTTCTGGCGTCGGCAGCGACTGAATGTTGACAGATCAGACTTTCTAGCGTCTGCAGCGATTATCAAGTCTTAAACAGCCTTTTAAACACAAAGGTGATAACTCCTTCGCCGTCACACCAGCCGGATGTTATGTCCAGTGATAATATATGTTCCATCTCTAATAAATATTACAAAAAATGTAGACTAAAACTCTCCTGACCGCGACGGATGAATACAACTTCCCCCATCTT